GCTGGGTCTCAATGGCGCCAGACAGACAGCTGGCGGGAATTGAACAAATATTTTTGTTTGAAGATATTTTTTACCATTTTGGCTCAAATTCTATAAATTGGACCTCCCACTTCATATTTTAAGGTTAGAAAACCTTCCAAGAGGCTTAGGCATTGATAGAACATCCATCTTTCTTCCAAAGGCTTCCTTGACCTCATATCACCTTTTAGCTATACATACACAATACATACATCATTAGAGCTTGTTCTTGGAGCTTTTTGTTGAGATTTCAACCTAATTTTCACAAACTTGAGGGTGTTTAGGATCAAGTTTGTTTAACTACAAGCATCATCTCTTTCAAGAGGTATAACTTTTGCATCTTCTTCCTTACTTCTCTCTCACTCTTTTCCTTGCTTTATACATTATTTTTGGATTGGTTTGAGGGGCTGAAATATGTGATTAAAAGTTACAAAGAATGAGGGGGTTAGCCACCCCTCCTTAGGCTTTGTTCCATAACTTTTTCTCTTGCTTTTGCCACTATTTTCTTGGCTTACAAACTGATTTTCAAAGTTCAATAAAGGTTAAAAAACATGCTTTGAGGTTCCAAAAAATGGAGAGGTTAACCACATCTCGTTGCTTTTGTTTACTAGCATTCACTTTGCCTTATTCCTTTCTATTTTTTTTCATGTTCTTATCATAATTTTTGGCCACTGTTTTAGCCTATTAGGGGATGTTTTAGGGATATCCTAATTTATTTAATTAATTTATGCTTTGATTAATTTGCTTGTTGTCTCACAAGTCCTTATGCATAGCTTGTTGTATTTTGTTCTAAGCTTTTCTTTGTCTAATTTCCATGTTTAAGAACCTCATTTTAATAATCAACTTACCATTCATCTCTTTCATTTGAGAGTTGTTTCAATCGGTTGACAGTTATCCAAAACATGAACTAGAGATCTATATTTAATGGTTTAATCTCTACGGAGGTTCATTGTCAACAGCGTAGTCACTTTTTCATGTTGATAATCATCTGTCGTTTGACATGTTTCTCAATTAGTGGACGTAATCTTTAGTGAACGTAACAATCATCTTGGACTTAATGGATTAAAGGATGGCAAAGACTAATGAATTGATTTAAAATGAACCAACCCACATAAAGAAAATGATTCATATTGCTTAGGTTCGGCCGGACATTATGTCGAATCCATTGTGTCAAGGGTTGTCTTACATTAATTCATGATGTTTTGATGAACCTTGAAGCGTCTCTACCTCCCTCTTTGAGTTAACTCTATGATAGGATGGAGGGGTGGTTGTTGTTCATTGCATTTATTGAATTTTGTCCAAATTGTATTTAGAATCATCAACCAATCAACTTGCTCATTGATGGTTATAGAAACGATTTCAACCTTCTCTTCAGGCTTTCCCATGACAGAGAAGTGTAAGAGGGATAAACAGATTTCAGAATAACTTTGTCTGCACTATTTTCACTTCAGAGCACAAAACAAAATTTTGTATAAAATTAAGGCACGGCCGACCTTATTTAGGGCCGGCCGGGCTTCATTGAGGGTCGGCCAGCCATCAATGTTTGGTTAGTAGTATGTTTTGCAGAAAACAGAGGGTAGTGGCTAAAGGTGAAACAGAGAAGGCCTAGGCAGACAGAGCTGTTCTTAGACATTATGCATGCAACCCTTATGCATCCTTGCTTACATCAATGTTGTAGATTAATGCTCCTAGTGTTGTTATTTTTATTATTATTGTTATAATTAGTCCTATTAGTGTCGTAATTATCATTATTGTTTATTTGTAATTGTTACAGCTAATTAACCTAGATAGTTAGTTTACTTCTCATTATTATCCTTGTTGTAATAGAGTAGTTAGCTAGTTAATTCTTTACTTATTTATTTATTTGGTTTTGTAATAATTAGTTTAATTTGGACTTTCAGACTTTAATTCTCACCCTCTTGCACAAGGGCAATTATGTAATAAGTTGTATATCTTCTAACCCCACGTCTTTCTCCTTTTTACTTACTCGCTTACGATGGTTAGTATAGGAACATCATTTTTCAAATTAGCATTCTTATGCGTTGCATTCATTGTCTTGCATGCATACAAGGTTCGGCTCATCATACTAACCCAATATCAATGTTCAAATTCATTACTTGACTACATGCTTTATCATATGTCTTAAATGGAATCATATGTCATGCTCATAGCTGAGCTTATAAATTACATAATGTATGCGTTGCATTAGTCATATTGCATTAATTAGGAGCATGCATATTTTTCTAATTATTTTGCTTTGTTTGGCTCGGAGTACTAGGTGAGTACTTTTGTGTTTTAGCATCTTGCATCGAATGCTTGTGTTACCATGTCAAAGCATACTTTCATGAGGCTAATTGCTTAAATGATATGACTGTTTGAATGCCTGTGGATGAAGGTTAGTTGCTTGAATTGGGATAGTTTGATTAATGTCCATTTTAAGCCCATTTTTCAAGTGGCAAATTCACAAAATAATTTCAAATAAAACACGAAATCAAATATTTCAATCCTTGCAAATTAGTCTCTATTTGTATGTGCGTCACATAGTAGAAAATAGCTAATAATCGGAACAAGATCATATAATGTAAATAAAAATCATATCATAATTAGTAGAGGTCGATCTTTGATCGGATGAGTGGGGTGCTCAATTCATGACCTTCCCCTCTCGTACCTAAGTTCCCGAGCCGAGACACTTTGGTGATGATGGACTAATGGCCTTTGGCATGAGTCTTAGGTTTCCTAAATTTTCTGAAAATATTTAGGTGGCGACTCTGAAATCTGGCAAGCAGTCCATTTTTGGCATTTGATTCAAACATCAATTTTCCAAAAGAATTGCCAGATTTGGACTCTTTTCGTGTTTTCACTGTTTCATATTCCACTTGTGAAAACAGATTCAGAACCACAGGAGTCAGAACTGTAAGGATATTCATCTTCTAAAAGGAGCACAAAAAGTCGAGCTACACCAGGGTTTGGAGTGATATCCTCAAACTTGTTGATATAAGACCTGCTATGGTTTAGTTTTATTTATTAAACCTTAAAATATCAGTAAGGAATGGGGGTAGAATTCAGTTTTGGAATGATAAGTAGATGAACAATTTATGCCTAAATGAGGAGTTTCCTAGATTGTATAGCTTTTCAAAGGGGAAAGGTAGCACTGTTCAGCAGATTTACCAGAGGAGGGTTCATTCAAATGAGTGGAACTTAATGTTCAGAAGATCACTGTTATCATGGGAGGAAGAGGAGGTACAAAGATTGTATGAGTTGCTTAGGGTAGCACCTACTCTCTCTTTGGAGTCTGAGGACTATTGTCAGTGGGGAGCCAATCCAGAAGGGTCGTTTACAGTAGCAACGGCATGGGAGTGGTGGATGTCTTCAAAAGGTCCAACTCCCAGTGTTAATAAGGTATTGTGGAAAAATCTTGCTCCTCCCAAGGTAAAATTTTGTGGCTGGTTAGCTTGGAGAGGTAAACTTAAAACTGCCACTATGTTAAAAAATTTAGGAGTGTTAAATGAGGAATCAGATTCATTGTGCATGTTCTGTAAATCAGAGGCAGAGATAGTTCATCATCTGATGTTGTTTTGCCCATTTGTGTGGAAGGTGTGGACTGATATGATGAAGTGGTGGGGTCTGGTGTGGGTTTTACCTGGTTCAATTGAGGATTTACTGCTCTGGTGGACAGGAGTCAAATTCAGTAAGGTGATTCTTAGAATGTGAAAAGTGGTACCTTAGCTGTTTTGTGGTCATTATGGAAAGCAAGGAATGATGGTTTTTTTTATTGGCAAACCAGCAGATTGGATTGAATTAATAGAGTTGGTGAAGGTAAGAGTAGCACTTTGGAGTAAATTGAATATTGCGAGGATGCAGTATTCAGTGTAGGAAATAGTCACCAATCTTCATCAGATTATGGCTTGTGCTGGAAGTAGCAGGTTGCCCCTTGGTTGATGTCTTGTGTTGAGCTAGAGAATGGTTTTAAGCCTTGCCACCACTACTGTTTTAGGAATGTCTGTGGTGATAGTGTTTCTTCTGGTCTGTGAAGAAAGCTGTATTACAAGGGAGCTTATGTGGTATTGCTACTGCTACTTTGCTAGTTGGAAGCGTTGCTGCCACTGCCCCTGCTGTTCTGGGAGTGTTTGTGGTGATTGTGCTTTCCTTTTGTCTTTGAAAAAAGGAGTTTTACAGGGGAGTTTCTGTTGTATTTCTGCTGCTACTCTGTTGCTTTGCCCTTGTTTTGTTTCATTTTTCTGTTTCTTTTTGGGCTGTTTCGATTGGTTCCTCCGATTGGTTCCTCACCAATCTTTTTGTCCCAGCTTTGTTGTTGTAAGGTGGCATGTTTTTTTCTTTCTTCATCGATAAAGTTTTTTGCTAAAAGTTTTTTAAAAAAAAAAAAAAAAAAAAACACAACAATTGTCTCATAGTGAGCCGACCTCAACAAAGATGATGAAAGATTTTGGCCTCAAAAGGGAAATCATGACAGCCATTAAAACCGAAAGAATCCATCATCGTGAGTGAGCTCAATCTAAGGTTTGGAGGTGGTGGGTTATAGATGACGATAGGGAAGTCCTTGGCAATTGGGTGTTATTGATGTCCTTTGTAATGGCGTAGGGTTTCTTTGGCTTGGTTTTTTGCTATAGTATGGTGGCCAATGAGATGGAATGTCATCGAATGGAACTAGCCATATGGGATGTGATGTGGTCAAGGAAACAAAAAACTGAGAGTGGAAAGAAGGGGTTGGTAGTAATGATTGCAGTGAAGTAAAAGACGCATGAAGCTTTGAGACAGAGCAAGGGAGTTCGCGTGGAGAACAAAGTATTGAGGGTTTGGCCGTGAAGGGTGTGATGGGGTAGAGGAACCACTAACTAACCACAGCACAACCACCCAACTCAAGCCTAAACAAGTGCATACACCTCGAGAAATGTTCCTGCCAACCACATGTGCACAAAGGAAAATAATACAACTTAAAATTATAAAAGTGACACAATTGCAAAAATTGAAACAAACCGATCATTACAGTTCCATTTTCAGAATTCAGCTAAAGAGTCCAGCACCAATGAGTCATGACGACTTGTCACCAAAAATAAACAACCCAAATTGAAAATTTGGTCATTATTACATCTCGACTTTGATTGCTTAGAACGTTACATATCTCTTTTTTTGAGGAAATTCTTAAACCATTTGGCTGAAAGTTTAGGATATCTTTTCAAACCATTTTTGAAATCTACATAGTTTATGCCAAAACGAACTGTGTAACCTGAGTCCCATTCGAAATTGTCCAATAGTGACCATGCAAAATATCCTTTCACATTAGCGCCATCCCTATATGAAGAATGCAATAAACAACAGAGGTTAGATGCAATATTCTCTTATAATTTTTAAAGGTATAACTTTCGAGCACTCATAGATCTTCTAAATGCAACAATTTTCATTGGGAACTTACTTAATTGCTTGTAGAAGGAAAGAAACATGGTGGTAATAGTAATGTATCCTCATGTTGTCGACAAGGGCTTCTTCAAGCGATAGTGTGGCATTATTCACTTCATCAATCCCTATAAACAATAAGTTAGGGATGTTCAGTGTCAACTTAATGTCTAATTACAAATTTTTATATTTTGTATTTCTAAATAAAAATGGTCTTTTGACACTATTGAAAAATCATTAATGAGTTTATTATTACCATTCTCAGTGATGTAAATAAGAGGATTGTTATATTTTTTCTTCGTGTAGAGTAGAACATCGTAAATGCCTCTTGGATAAACAAAGAGCCAACTTGAAGCAGCCTGCATGATCACGTGAAGTTATAGACTTGATCATGAAAATCTCCATCTTTAGGCAAGTTACAACCGATAAGGAGAGCTGATTAAGTTTCTACTTCTTACCTTTGCACCAATTGGAACACCATTTCGCTCAGCTAGCATAACAAAATAATCATGTCTAGTTAGGACAATGTTATATTAAGTGTGTAATTAATAATGGCACAAGACTTTGAACTTACTTGTAAGGTTAACCCATGAATCTGTCAAATAGCTGACAAATACACTATTGGAGTTTGGTGCGTATGCTGCATAATTAGCAGTGTAGTAGTTTAATCCAATAAAATCAAATGATCCTTTCAACATCTTGGATTGTTCTTTTGAGAACTTAGGGAGCCGTTTTGCCACAAGAGTTCGCATTGTACGTGGATAGTCACCAGTTGCTAGTGGCTCCATAAACCTGCAATACACACGGAAAAACAAAGTTGGGCCATATTATAAATTGGTAACTCTACTCATACCAATATTATTGACCACAAAAAGGACATATATAAAACACTTACCACCCAAGCGTGAAATCCATGGCCCTTAATGCAGCGTTATGGTTGTGCCTTGCTTTCGAGAAAGGTACCATCCACTGTGTAATAAGTGTAATTCCAATCTTGCCCTTTTGAGATGCCTATTTACATTTTAAACATTTAATTCACAACCATCTAATAATATACTTGTATCCAAAATTTGTCTTATTTAGCATATCCTATCCTTAAACGTAAAATTGCTTAAGAACGCTTTGATAATGTGAATTATATATATGCAGTTGCAAAGGGGTTTCATGTGCAACCTGATACTTCTGCTTGTACAAATTTACTGCAGCTGCATGAGCAAGAAGTTGGTGGTGTGAAACAATATATGGCTCAGTGCTTGAATCTCCGCCAGTGCAATTTAATTGTAGCCATGAAGAGCATCGCCCTGGTGCCAATTGACCTACTGTATACCCACCTAAGCTGTATGTCCATGGCTCATTTAAGGTTATCCAATGCTTCACCTTATCACCAAATTCTTTAAAGCAAAGTTCTGCAAAACTTTGATAGTCATCCCTGTAAAGTTGATCATTAATGTTGGCATTCAGCAGTAATATAATAAAATGTCTTACAACTTAATTTCAAGATGTGATGATCAAACATTCAACTCGATGACTAGTTCCATCTCTAGGTTACCATAGGATGCTCATACATGGAATTCAAATTCATGTCTCATACAGAAATGTTAAGCAAATTTCCATAATATATGTGTTGTTGACACATCTATACTCTAAATTCTCCATCAAATTTTATGATTTTTATTTTTATTTTCATGACAATTAAATTCACCTACAAGGCTTTGTGATGAAAATAAAGCATTTAAATTGTTCGTCATAGTTGATTGACTAAAATAAACGATTTGGCAAGCATAAAAAATAAAAAAAAATAAACAAACAAACAAAAAAAGATATTGACCATTGCAAACATTTAGATTTATGTCCTTTTTTTATATTTAGTAAATTTTTATTTTATTGTTATTTATTTAATTATTTTGTTAAATTGATAGGAACTCATTTACAATATAATAAGAATTGTGTTTGGATAAACATATTCCAATAACTAAATAAGCCCAACAAAGAGTCCATAACAGAAAAGAAACAATAAACCCAACTGTTTACATCACATTTTATTTTTCTATCAATTGTCGCCTATTAATTATGGTCAAAGTCGATTATGATATGTCGATGGAAAGCATAAACTATTTTCAAAAAATAATCTTGACCACATTTGTTTTTATTATTATTATTTCTGTCGACAGGCATGCTAACGTGACATGACAGATGTGTTAAGGACATAGCATGATGACATGTTAAATGGAGAGCTAGAAAGTTAGCAATTGTAGCAATTTGAAAGTTAGTTGGTGAGATCAATGAGCCAAGATCAAATCAAGCACGAAATCTGCAAAATGGTTCCTATCAAACATAGGATATGGATAGTGTTAAGGGATTCATGGGCTTGTTGAGGAAATCGTAGGCTTAGATTATCTATTTCTCTCATGTGGTTGAGTTTATAAATAGGTCAAGAGAGATACAAAGGTGAATCAATCATCAACAACTATCAATCACACTCCTGAAGAATTATTTAGAAGTAGTTTTAAATTAGCTATTTTAGGAGTAGATTAAATAATTTTCCAACCCCCACTTCTCTTCTCTTCTCACTGTCGACTGTTGTATTTTTTTTCATTTCTTTGTTCTTGTTTAAGTTCTTGTAACTAGTAACAAGTGACAATTTAATTGAATAAATACATATTTTATTCTGTTTTGTTCCATTTCTTCTCCATTTAAATTATCTCCAAAGAAATCCTTAATCTATTTAAGACATAGAACTCAACCACAAAACCTAATTTTTATTTGTATTTACTTGAAATTTATTCAAGTCTGTCGATCAATCACTGTCGATTGGACTTGAACTAAATTGTTGCTAACACCAGCCCAACCATCAACCCTAAGAAAGTGATAACAAAAGCAGCAGCTCACTCTCCAGTGTCAATGCCATGCTTCTCAACAGTGACAATGTAGACATGTCTAAGTCTGCCAAGTCTAAGTCTAAGCAGCAACAACAGCCCAAGGACTTGTGGTCTACGTCTGCTAAGTCTTAGAAGCAGCAGCTGTGCTAGAGCTCTATAGTGTGTGTAGGTTAAGAGTAGTTTAGTGCATCTTAGTCAAAGAGGTGTGTATGTTAGAAAACCCTCTTAACAACTATTTATTAGATTGTTAAGATGGTTATACTGCTATGTATATAAATCTAGAGATCTGCTCTTGTAAAGAAAGGTTGGATTCATTTTTGTTAAATAATATCTTTTCAGTTTTTCTCTCTCTTTCTCTTTTCTCATCATGGTATCAGAGCTCTGAAGCTCTCACGAGCAACAATAGTGATTCAAATTGAGAAGCCATCATTGCCTTCAAATGTTATTCTACTTGTTTCCAGTCTTAACTATTTGATTACAATCAAACTTGAAGCTTCAAATTATTCAATTTAGAGAAGCCAGATTCAAAATTTCTTTGAAGCAACTGAGTTGTTTGGTTTTCTTGATGGATCTACAGTATGTCCATCTACTGCAACTATCGATTCTAGCAGCAACTCGGTCTCCAATCCTGAGTTTCTGCAATGGAAGTTGATCGATTCTTGTCTTCTCAGTTGCATAATTGTAACTCTTACTCCTTCTATTTTTTCTTCCATTCTTCACCTGAAGCATTGCCAATATGTTTGGTCTGCTCTTAAGAAAAGATTTACATCAATTTCTTGTTCTCATATTCATCAAATCAAGAATCAATTGAGTGCTACTTCAAAGAAATCCAAATCTATGGAAACCTATCTTCAAGAAATTAAAGATCTTGTTGAACAACTTGTTTTGGCATCATCTCCAATCTGTGATGAAGATTTAATTCTTCTGGTACTGAATAGCTAACCTGATGAGTATAATGCCTTTAAAACCACCATCGAGCCAAATCAGAGGTGCTTACATTGGATGAACTATGTTCTCTCTTGTGTTCTGAAGCTATACATTTCAAAAATGGTCACAAGCATGGCACTTTTGAGCTCACTGTTGCTTTCTTTGCTAATACGGGTTCTCATTCCACCACAGACAATGCTCCAGCTGCTTCACATGTTCTGTCTGATCAGAATCAGCAGTATTTTGGTCAATCTTCCTCTCATAATTTCTCTTTTCTAAATAGAGGAGGTAATAGATCTCAAGGCTATCAGTCTAGATGTGGTAGGTACAATAACCAAAGAGGCAAAAGATGAGGCAGACCTCAGAGCTATGGCTTGATCTGTCAAATCTGTGAAAAAGGAAATCACCCTGCCTTAGAGTGTAAACATCGATTGAATACCTCATTTCAACTTGTGTTTCCTTCTTATACCATGGGACCTTCACAAATGCCTTCCTTTAATCCTAGAGCCTTTTCTGCTCATGCTCATTTTTCTGCTATGTCCACATCTATGCAGTCTTCTTCAGCACCACGGTATGTTGATTCTGCTACTACTTCACATCTTACAAATGATCTGAACAACCTTCATCTTTATCAACCTTACCAAGGACAAGATCAAGTAATGATTGGTGATGGCAATACTCGTCCAATTCAAAACTCTGGCACTGGTATATTGTCCTCTTATTCTTTTCAATTTAGGCTTAATAATCTTCTTCATGTACCACAAATATCATCCAATTTGTTATTTGTTCATCAGCTTACTTCTGATAATAATTGTAGCATTACTTTTGACAATGAGTCCTTTGTGATTCAGGACAAGCTCACCAACAAGGTACTATGTAGAGGACATCATCACAATGGACTCTGCTAGTTTCCTTCTTCTTCATTTTCTCCTAAAACTTTTTCTGGTACTAGTTCTCTTGCTACTATTTGGCATAAGAGACTAAGGCATCCTTCTTCTACTGTGTTTTATACCATTGCAAATAAAAGTGGCTTGTCTCTTAGTCATAAGGATTGTAATACTTTTTGTCATTCTTACTGTATGTCTAAAAGTCATAGACTTCCTTTTGTACTCTCATCTAATAAAACTCATGCTCCTCTTACTCTAATTCACTCAGATGTTTGGGAGCCTTTCACTAAAGTACATGCTTTCTTTACTTACTATATTGTTTTTATTAATGATTTTAGTCATTTTACCTGGCTCTATCCTCTTTCTTATAAAAGTGAAGTATATTCTAAGTTTTTAGAATTTAAATCCTATGCTGAAAATCAGTTTTCAACCTCTCTTAAAATTTTAAGAACTGATGAGGGAGGAGAATATACTAGTGGGCAATTTGAGGATTTTCTCAAATCTTCTGGAATTGTTCATCAACTTAGTTGTCCTCATACTCTATCTCAAAATGGAGTTGTTGAGAGAAAGCATAGACATCTTATTGAGACAACAATTACACTGCTTGATCAATCATCAGTGCCTCTAAAATTTTGGTTTAAGGGACTTACTACTGCTGCTTATCCGATAAATAGAATGCATTCTCCTCAATTGAATAATCTCAGTCCCTATGAGGTTTTGTTTAAGATGGTACCAGATTATGGTTTTCTCAGAAATTTTGGCCACAAATGTTATCCATAGTTAAAGCCTTATACTTCTCACAAATTGCAACCAAGATCCAAGGCTTATGTATTCATTGGTTACCATCCAAGCTACAAGCGATATCGATGTTTGGATCCTAGTTTTGGTATAATCTACATCTCTTGACACGTTGTGTTTGATGAATCTTCTTTTCCTTTTGCTTGTTATGATTCTTCTTCACCACCTCTTCTCTCCTCCAAACCTACTATTAAGTCATTCTTTTGGGGTACTACTTCTACTTTGTCTTCTTCTCAGATCCCTATCTCTTCCTCTTCGGTTTCAGCTTCAGATTCTCCTCATGTTTATTTTCCATCTTCTCATACACCAAATCATTCTAATTCTGCTTCAATTCTTGTTCCTACCTCTTTACCTTCTGCTTCCAGTCCTGTCGAAAATAATTATGGATTTATCTCCTCTTCTTTATCTTCTTCTCCACCTAGTATTAATCTTATTATTCTTATTCATCCTCCTCCTTCTTCTCACTCTCTCAATTCTCATCTTATGCCACTCGAAGTAAGACAGTCGTCTCTTCCCAAGTTGATATGCTTGCTACTTTTCTTGACACTGAGCCTCGAACCTATAAAGATGCTCTGCTGTGTCCTCGTTGGCATCAATCTATGCTTGAAGAATTTCAGGCTCTTCAAACTTAAAAGACATGGACTCTTGTTTCTCCTCCTGCTCATCAGCACGTTGTTGGTTGTAAATGGGTCTTTCGAATCAAAAAGAATTTAGATGGCTTTATTGCTAAGTACAAATCCAGACTAGTTGCCAAGGGTTATCTTCAAGAGGCTGGTGTTAATTTCTTAGATACCTTTAGCCCTATAGCCAAGCAACCAACCATCAGACTTTTCCTTTGTGTTGCTCTTCATTTCCATTGGCCTATTAAGCAGTTGGATGTATCTAATGCCTTTCTTCTTGGAAAGCTTAAAGAAAAGGTTTTTATGAATCAACCACTT